AAATCACTAACTTAACCGAATCGGCCAAACAATCATTCGGCTAATTTTTATCAGGTGTTTCAGGAATTATGATAATATATAGCTGTAAAACATTTTAAATTTTTTAAATGAAAGTTTGTCTTTTTTTTTGTTTTATGTGAGAACCAAAAAGTTAAATTTATATGGCCTAAAGTAATAAAATTAAAATAATTTTTATATAACTACTGTATAGTATAAATAGCAATTTTTGTACATTAAAATTTAATTAAAAAATTTATTTTGTTAAAAACTATACTTTTGACTTGATTTTATTGTATATGAGTGCTGTCAAAAGAAAACCTGTCATCGGACTTTTTGTGTCATCTATGGAAAATCTATCATTATAATAGATTTTCCGTAGATAGGTTTTCTTTTGACAGCACTCATATATTAATATATATATATAGCTATATATACTTTTAGTTGTCTTTTAAATAGTTTATTTAAAGGTTTTATACTAAAAGCTATATCTATAATCTATAGAAGATTACTTTTTTAATATAATTTATACTATGGAATAATTTATATACAGTACTTGCAATTAGAGGTCTGATCCGATGAATAGTATATTCGAATATTCAATGAATATATTCGAATCTTCGAATATACAATTGTTTCACTGAATTGAATATTCGGATATAAAAATTTTTCACCAAATAATTCATTGACAAATTAAACGAAAGTAGATAAACAAGATAAATCCTTATTAGCTAGAAGTTTCCCTATTGATTTATTTTTTTAATGTAGCTTGTAAGTATAAAATTCATTTGTTAGCTTGTATATTTAAACTCTCGATTATTCAACTTCATAATATTTTCTTACTGTAATTCATTATTGTTCCGAATCAACAGCTCTATTTTTTCATATTCAATGAATATTAAGTGAATATTCGAATATTCTACTGATGAATATTCGGATATTAAAAAGATTGAACAAATGAATATTTGAATACTTATTTTTTGACCGGATCAAACCTCTAGTGTATATAAAACCTGGATTGTCTAATAATCTTCTGTTACGCATGCTAAAAATTGCAGTAATTAGATTACAAGCGTTAATAACTAAATGGGGTCTTTGCCTTGAAAATGACCTTACGGTATCATGTACCGTAAGGTCATTTTCAAGGCAAATTCTCTAATAATCTATTTTGTAAACTTTTGTACATTAATATGTCTTACATATAATTTAGGAATTTTGATTAAAGTTTTTATTGTTGTATATAACGAGTCCATTACAACATTATATTAAATTGTGTCACTTCATTTTCATTTTCGGAATTTTCGATATTAACGGAGATGATATATCTTTAGAATAATTTCCTTCTATGATTGATCATCATGTCTAGGCATAATCCCAAGATCAGTTCACTATATAATATATCAATTGACTACCCGTATTCTTTATCTTACGACATATATGTGAGGTCTCGATTTTCATTGTTTGCGAAAAATTTTCCGTTAATTCTTCATAAATTCCCATTCCATTTGATAATAAATTGTACTCGTTGGAGATAACCAATAAAAGATTTTTTGAAATAAGCTTTTGTAGTGATTATTAGTCTCCGAATTTGCATATTTGGTGGATAAACACCATAACGTTGATCCATTAATTCATTCATATTATGTCTACGTTCGACACTATCTTTATCTGGGGTCGTCTAAAAGTCGTGCCCAATCACGTGAAATAGAACCAATAAAGTCATTTATTTTTATCAACACGGAGAGACGCAAAATATACGAGAAGCGAGTATCTAAACCTAGCTCGAGGTATTAATAAAAATGTCGGGGGAGCAATTTTACTATAAGGTTGTCACTTTTACTATGTCTAGTGGCTAAAGGCACTGGACTGGACTTATTAAATTACTATGTCCAGTAGTCCAGTGGCGCAGCACTGGAATATGTCTAGTGTAGTCCAGTTGACAACCCTGAAGACATATGGATCTTTGCTAGGAAAATCACCCTTCGGGATTTTCCGATAGGGCTAATTCGGAAAAGCTTGGACCAGAATGCCGGTTCTTATTCATATGTAAATCACCTTTTGCTTTATTTATTTGATAGTTTATTAAATAAACTGTCGAATCACATATGAATACGAACCGGCATTTTTTCCGAATTAGCCCGATCGGAAAATCCCGAAGGGTGATTTTCCTAGCATATCATAACCCTAGCCTTAGTCGATCGTGCTTCTAAGTTCGTACATTTTCCACTTCAGAATTTTAGGATCGGCATAACTAATAAATTTTGAAACGAGTCTGCCGAAATCAGAAAAAGTCTAATTTATGAAACAGCGGTCACTGGATCAGACTTCTATCTATCTATCTATATTTTTAAAAAGTAATTCTAACTATATTATTTCATTTTGTTTTTAAACATTGCAGCATTGGCTATTTTACTTGCTAGTTTAAGGTGTAGTATCGGTATCAAATAATTCGATTACGTATAATATGATCGAGATGTTTGTAACACTTAAGCAATACAATGTCATATGATAGAATTTTTATAGTAGAAAAAGTTCATTAGAACCCAAATCGTTTATTATTTATATGCGTATATATATAATTATATAACAAGGGCTATGCTATATCGATATCATAAAGGCTTAGATTTAAATCTCTTGCTACAATAAGTCTTACTTTCTTTATATTATAAATTTATAACATGTCAACAACCGAAGTATCTGTTTTAATGACAAATGATACCCCAATTACACCGAGCAAGTAAGTACAAAAAGTTATTTCTTATAATTGCGAGATCTCTACGTAATCAATACTTATTTCTTAATTGCTTCGTTAAGTACCTCTCATACACAGTATACCTTGTCTCGAGCAGAATTTTTTCATGGTTTGGCAAATCGACTTATATATTCCAGGTTTTATACCTGGTTATACTTGGGAATGGCCTTATTAAGCGTTGTTTCTATCATTCTGGTATAATTATTTTAAATTTTCTAAATTTTCTAAATTTAACTTTACTTTTTCAATGTAATAACTTCTTTTGTAATGTAATAACTTCTTTTGTCAACTAGTCATTTACGGAAGAATGGTAAACCCTTAATATATATTCATTTTTTTATATCTATATTTCAAATATTTCAATTTTAACACGTTTTCCATTTTAAAAAGTCAATCAACTGGGTTTATTATTCTTGAGATAATAATCAATACAGTTATGATAGCTGAAGTAGTTACTCGCATCGTGGCATTGGGAAAGGTTAGTAATCATTCTTTCTTTGTTCAATTATAATTTTGATAAAATATTAATGTTTTTATTTTCGTTCATATGTTTAATTCATTAGTTATATTGGAATTCTATCTACAATATAATCGACATAGTTCTTGTTTTACTATGTATAATAACATTAATCTTAGTTCTAAAGGGTGATTGTTCTCATAAGGGAGAAGAAGTAATTGATTTAATTTTAATAATTGTAAGAAATATCATGCAATTTGGAAGGTTAATCATGATGTTAAGAAAGTATGTAATTTTTACAAATGTACTTTTTTTATGTTCTGAATTTTTAAATTTTATATTTACTAATTCTTAAAATTATTTTTATAGAAATGGGAAAAATAGAAAAGCTAGAAACGCAACAATAGATTTTAGTAATGTTAGAGAATCAAATCCTTCAATGGATTTTGATTCAATATCCAATAATGCATTTTTAATAACTGACGATGATGATGACATATAGTTTTGTTGTTATTAGCCAATATTTGTATAATTTATATTTCTTATTTGTACTGTTATTCTCAAAATTTCATTTTATAATATTACATAGAAGTCAATTGTCTTTTTTCATGTGTCATATTAATGCTAAATATATATATTTGTATGTAGTATACATCATTGCTACGAAAATATTCTTGGATTCATTTGACCTTGATTAAATCGTCATTTTTTACATCTTGGTTCATATGTTCAAGAAATACTGTAGAAAAAATCGCTACAACTATATCCAATTCATCCAATTCCATAATGAATTTCTCAATTTCATATATTCTAAATTTTTTCCAATTATTACGATTTTGTCTTTTATCACTCCTTTTTTCTCAACACTTTCATTTATATCACTAGGAATATATTGTAAATCGTATAACTCTTGAACCCCTTGGACGACAACACGCGACTTTATATCATGATTCGGTGTAAGAATACCCTTAAGCCTTAGAATTGTTATTTGAGGATTAGATTGATCTGATGTAGTATTATTATTTGTTGGAATCATTTTTTCCCATAACAGGCTTTGAATCCATTGCTCTACTTTTGTCAAATCGAGTGTCGGTGACGGGAATTCTGTTAAACATATGGTTTTAACCTCCTTCAAGGTATATATATGAATATAAATGTTTCTTTAGAAAAAGAAGCCAGCATTAAAACTAATGACAAAATGAGTTAATTGATTAGTATATTACCTCTTCGATGTGATGATGGTTATGATCATGATCATGTTCTGTACTGTCTTTATTTAAAGTTTGTGATGACACAAAAGTAGGTGGTTGTTTAAGGTCGAATGCATGAATGTCCAAAATGAAATCTAAAGGAACTCTTGTTTAGTGAGAGATTATAACATAATTTGTGTATATTTATATCATAGAGACGATTTTAATAAAATATATAAGCTGACAAAAAACATATAAAAATAAAACAATTTAAAAGTACCTTGATCTTTCTGTGTTAATAATATTTGCAATTGAATTTATAGCCCTTTGTAATTGAATTGTTTGGTACAAGTTATTTAATACTTAGCAATAATTATAATATACATTTAAAAACACTGTATATAAAATTTATGAAAGTAGACAATATTACCTAATTTGACTCTGTATAGAATCTGCAACTGAGGGCAAAACTAGATCCATTTTGTTGATAATTATTCTATCAGATATAGCTATTTGGCTAATTTCTAATTAATGTTTATTTTGAAATATTATAGTGTTATAAAATGCTAAAAGCTTAATGCTTACCGAACAGCTTCATTAATCGAATCATTTGCTTTCTTCTCCGAAATGTACTTAAAAACAATAAAGGTTAGAGGACAAAAAAGTACAAATATATTACTTAAAAGCAAAGTACAAAGTGTGATATGATACTTGTAGGATGTATTTTGCGTCAACTAATGTAACGATACCATCCAGATATATGTCACTGCCTAAATCATCGTCTAACCAGAACATTGAAACAATTGGACCTTTTGTACGAAAAAGCGTGTTTATATTAATATAATGCTATATAGAAGGAAAAAAATTATGACGAGATTAGTGGAATACCTGGATCAGCAAGGCCTGTAGTTTCCAACAAAATATAATCGAATTTTCCTTTTTTCTGCATAAGATCTTCAATTGCTTTTACACCGTTATCTCTATAATTTCAAACAATAAAGTCAGGAATCAAGGCGCAGACAAACAACCATAATAATTTACTTACTTGACAGAGCAACATAAGCATCCATTTTGTAATTCTAACCATTCCTCAAATGAATCGCCGTCTTGATTTATTGATAATGCTTTTTCAATTCCGCTACCTAAATAAATATATATATATATTATAAACAGTGAGCGAGCTTTTGGCACCTAAATAACAAATGATAAAAGACATACTTTCGCCAAATTCGTTCAAGATAACGGCGATTCTTTTTCCATGTTGCTTTGTTAAAATATAATTAAGTAATGTGGTTTTTCCAGAACCGAGGAAGCCTATGGAAGCGAATATCTAACGTGTTAGAAAAGTAATTATTATTCAAGGGGTTGATTTTAGAAACATTATTACTTACCAGTAATTATTGTTATAGGAACCTTTGAATTAAGGGCTTTATCAGTATTTTTCACCTTCGACTCAGAAGAATCACTATAAAATAAAGAATTTATCAACTTGTAAAGAAAACTTTTTCAAAATGAAAATAAAATATTTTACATAGTTTCAGCTATTTCGACCAATTCAGGTATTTCATCCATTTTTGATTTATCGTTATGAAAGAGAATTGATACGGCCTATCAGTTAGGGCCTATTAAAATCATATACGTAATACCAGTACTAGTGTTCCGACCCGGGTCAGATAATAGTGACCCGACGGGTCAGACATTTAGCCCGGGTCATGACCCGGGTCAACGGGTCATATAAATAATTATGACAATCAAAGTTTTTTATCGCTATTTAGTTGGATCAATGATCTGCATAATTTTTTTGGAGTCCCGTGAGTCCTGTGAGGGTATCACTTCAACTTCGTTATATTTTGTAGAACTCATTTTAGAAGTCTTATATTTAAAAAAAATATGACGAACATAAAGTAGTTTTCTATTGTGTATTCACGGACTCAAAAAACACTATGCAGGTCATCGATCCAACTAAATCGAAAAGAGCGATAAGCACTTTTCAAATTAGGAAGACAATCGAATTCTATGAATACAATGAATCCTGCATATTACAATTGTTTTTACAATAATATGCGGATTTATAAAATTCATAGAATTCGATTGTCTCCCTAATTTGAAAAGATTGATAAAGTCGGTGTAACAATTATTGAGCGTAACAGGACGATTTTAAATACAAGGTATTTGAATTTAAATCAAAAAAAAAATTTTTTTTTTTGTGAATATATCCATAATCATAATGTTACTTTTATAAAAATTTTGTTTTAGTATATTTATGAAATAGTTAAAGCCAAGTGAATTGGAACTGAATTGAATTGAATAAGTGTAAAGCATTGACGCATTATCTGAAATCAGCTCAGGCTAATAATTTTATGGAAATTTTTGAAACCATTGTCATCATTTCTGTGAAATTTTTTAAAAAAGAACAATGGTAACGGCAAATACATCATATTTGGGTTAGGAAACCTTTCTATACTGTACACATATACAGTATATTGTATAAAATTTCATGACCAAGTTTTACTGATAAATACACTCTAGATCGCCTGTAATGTTTCAGCACCTGCAATATTACTACTACTAATCTACTTTCAAACGAAATTATTATTGGTAATTTATTACTTTATCATCCTTTGGTCATTATTATATTTTTTATGAAAAATTAACAAACTTATTTTATTCTAGAATAAAACATTGTAGTTCTCTGGATTTAAATTAGCCAAGCAGAGAAATGAGTGATGAATCTTTAAATGATATGATGTTAGAGCCTGAAAACAATATGGTGTTCGAGCCTGATGATGATATGGTGTTCGAGCCTGATTATGATACGATGTTAGAGCCTGAAGATGATACGATGTTAGAGCCTGAAGCTGATAATCTAGATGGGTCAGAATCTGATGGTATGAATAAATATGAAAATTCACTTCGGTCTTCCACATCACAAACCAGCAGTAAATTTCTAGTCAAACGAAAAAAGGTTGAAAGACCGGGTGGTAGTCCTGTAAAAGAGTTTTATGAAACGAAACTAATTAATAATTTTGAGTATTGGATCTGTCGTTATAAAACTTGCACTCTAAAAATAAAATACCTAAAGGATAGTTCTACTTTGAATTTATGGTGCCATTTAAAAAATAAACACTATATTTCACGAGCCATGGTAGAAGGTGGTTGGGTAAAGGTTGTAGTAAAGGATGATGTTTGTGAATTTTCTATAATACCAGAATCCTCAAAACCAACGATAATACAAACATTCAATAAAATAAAAAAATATGCGCTTAATAACCCTAAACAAAAAAATCTTGATAATAACATAGTTGCTTTCATTATTGAAGAACTTCAGCCATTTTCGATTATACAATCACGATCATTTAAAAGAATAATTGAAGGACTAGATGTCCAAGCTAATATACTTGGTAATGATCGTTTAAAGGAGATTCTTATTAATTCCGAGGATAAGGTTTTGCAAAACTTTCATGAATATGCACAAGATAGTTCTGAAGTTAGTTATATTTCATTTACTACTGATATGTGGATGTCAAATAATGATGATCCGTATATCAGACTTACTCTTCACTAGATTAACGATAGTTTTCAAATAAAAGAAATGATTGGTAACATTTCGTATCTCCCATATCCGCATACTTCTGAGTGTCTTTTAAATAAAATCACTGAAATTTTAGATAGTTTCCAGCTTAAATATATAACCACTAGTGGTACGATCGATAATGCGGCAAACATTAAATCTTGTCTAAAAAAATTAGAGCGAAAATATGGAATTTTTAAAGTTTATTGTTTTGGCCATACTTTGCAGCTCACAATTAATGATGCATTAAAAGGTTGCCCTGAAATTACTAACCTAATAAAAAAATGTAAAGACATTGTATCTCACTTTAGCGGAAGCCCAAAGCAAAAACAATTTCTTTTGGAAGCTCAAATAGAGATGAAAGACTGGAATAACTTTCTTTTTATAGTTCGCGATGTTTCTACGAGATGGAATTCGACATTTTATCTTTTAAAACAATTAACAATTCTTAAGCCAGCAATGTATAAGTATAAGTCGTTTTTAGTTGAAATAAATGATAATATTTTATTAAGAAGTTATGAAGAAAAAGAATTATTGTCATGTCAATGGGAAAAAATAACCGAGTTAGTAAAGTTATTGTATCCTTACAAAGTTATTTCAAAAAAATTATCAGGTTCACAGTATTCAACACTTTCTCAAGCGTGATTTGCGATTAATTTTATTAAAATAAAACTTAATTGTGCAATAACAAATGATAGTGATATTCGAAAATTTAAAAATCTTCTCATTGAGTTTATTCAGGAACGATTTTCAGAACTAACGAAACCAATTCGACTTGCAGCATTTTTTGATCCACAAACAAAAGACATGCAAATATAGTACCATTTCAGAAGCACGTATAGAGTATCTTGAATTAGCTACCAATTATTATGAATCAAATAATTTATCAGAT